CCTGGGCAGACTTACACTAATCCCTATGGCAACTACACTGTGGTAGACACAGTGACTGAGGACATGCTGGACCTGGTACACCCCCACTGGTACGGCTTCCCCCCCATGAACGAAATGTGGTACGGGCTTGTGGCCTTCTTCCTCTCGTGCATGGCCATGCTTGCCATCAGTGGTAACTTCATCGTCCTCTACGTATTCTGCTGCACCAAGACCCTCCGCTCTCCATCCAACTACTTCGTGGTCAACTTGGCTCTGTCCGACTTTATTCTGATGTTCTGCATGTGCCCTCCTCTTGTCATTAACAGCTACTACCACACCTGGATATTTGGACCTTTCTGGTGCCAGGTGTACGGAGCCATCGGCTCGCTTACTGGCTGCACTTCCATTTTCACCATGGTGTGCATCTCCTTTGACAGATACAACGTTATTGTAAAGGTTAGTTTCATCGCTTTCCTTTTCTTTTCCTTTTCCATACAGTTAGACAGCTGGATTAATAATTTACATTTATTCATGTATTTATCTCACTTCTTACTTTCTGTCACTTTTTGCAGGGTATTGGTGCAAAACCTCTTACAACTGGCAATGCATTGGTGCAGATCGTTATTGTGTGGCTTACCTCCGCCGTTTGGACCTTCGTCCCCTTCTTTGGCTGGGGCCGCTATATCCCAGAGGGTAATATGACTGCATGCGGCACTGACTACCTCTCTGAAGATGTCCTTACTGTCAGCTACCTGTATGCTTACTCCGTTTGGGTCTGGCTCGTCCCACTTTTGATGATTGTGTACTGCTACTGGTACATTGTGGCTGCTGTCGCTGCCCACGAGAAAGCCATGAAGGAGCAGGCCAAGAAAATGGGAGTGAAGTCCCTGCGCGGAGACCAAGACGCACAGAAGAAGTCTGCGGACTGTAAGCTGGCAAAGGTGGCACTGGTGACCGTGTCGTTGTGGTTCATGGCCTGGACCCCGTACCTGGTTATCAACATGGCAGGCCTCATCGACAAGTCTGTCGTCACTCCTCTCTTCTCCATCTGGGGTTCTGTCTTCGCCAAGGCCAACACCGTCTACAACCCAATCGTGTACGCTATCAGCCACCCCAAGTACAAGGCAGCCCTGTACCAGAAGCTGCCCTGGCTCCAGTGCGCGACGGATGCTGGCGATGACCAGGACAGCAAGTCCACCGCCTCCAACGCCACCACCAGCGAAAACAAGGCCTAGAGCCACTGAGCGAACTCAATGACCTGCGAATGTGAACGAGCTTTTAACGGCTGACGAACCGATTATTATTTTCGAAATGCGCATTTCGAGGCGACTCTGTTGACGACCTGTTTTCGGCACAGACTTTTCAACTATCATTTTCTTATCCTGATTCTTGTCTGAATGATGAGTGCATCCTGATATGCGTCGATTAAATCCTAGCAAATCTTGGATATTTTTAACTTTCCTTTTGAGAACATGCTTCCAGAGCTAGTTAACAATATGCTAACGCACATAAGATTGTTAATAAAGATGATTATGATTATAATTGTCATTATAATGATAACAATCGCTATTATGTCAATAATGACAATAATAAGGATTATAATAACAATCATAATGGTAATAATAAGCATAATAACAATTATAATGTCAATAATGTTAACAATAACGATAATAACAATAATAGTAAAAACGAATATAAAGATATTGATAATACTACTATTAATGAAACATAATATGAATAATGATAATAATATGAGTAACAATAAACAATTTCTAAAATGTCAGCCAGGAAAATCTCAGAAGGCAATGGATGACAATGATAAAAGCAACGATGATGATTCAGATAATAGAAATTATAACTATGCAAGCAATAATAGTAACAATAAGAATAACAACTTAGTGATAATATAGATGAAAGTGACAACATAGAAGCCCTCATTTCTACCGACAATAACTGTCAAGCTAAACTTTCCTATGACTCCGCCCCTTTTTATGGGGGGCGGAGTCATATATAAGCAACTGCACCTGGCTGATGAGCCTGCGAGGCGCCTCTGCCTGTTTTGACAATGGAGGAAAATGGAACTTTCAAATTTGATGCTACATTGTATGGGGCATTATTAGTAACGATGATGGTATTTATGAGGATACAAATGCACTAAGTACTAGCTTAAATATATTTGCGTGTGTATGTTTAAATACATACATACATATATATATATATATATATATATATATATATATATATATATATATATATATTATGTACATGTACATGTTTTCTTTTCAATTCCCATTTGTTATGGGGATATGAAATTTAATATGATATGAAACATTATATGCCTATGACTATGATGATTCTAAGAAACATCTCTTACGGTTAGGCAATTGGGGAAAATATGAACATTTTTACTAGATCGCCCTGCTCTAGCAATAAAGAATTGATACTGAAAATCTACATTACTATCATAGTTAACGGTATAGAGTGTAATGCTTCCATATTAACAGGGCCATGAGCTCTCTATGCATTTCGATATGTCATGATAAGCTCTAATATGAAAATGCTTTCATATTAACAGGACCATGGGCTCTTAATTAATACATTTCGATATGTCATGTACAGGCAACAATAGTTATTATTTTTCTTGTATCATTTATGCTTTTGTCTTGGGCATATTCAGGCCTCCAAAAGTGTTCTCATGTTTTGTTTACAGGAATGTGTTAGAATGGTTAAAAGAATATTTTAAAAAGTATTTATTATACATAATCTGTTTTACCTAATATGTAATTAAACATGCGGGCGTTTATTTATATATAATTTTAAATGTAGTCAGTATCAATAAAAAGTAATGGCCTTTTCAAAGTATGGAAAGTGTGATTTTCGGAAGCCGAAGTCGAGGGAAAACAGTATGATGGGAGGCGCTTAGGACCCGCACTTTTTCAAATGATTTCGATAATTTTCCTTCGTTTGATTTGTAATCTTAAGACGTTAATAACTAACCACTTGTACTCATTGCTATTTCCTAATGTTCCATCAGCAAAACAGCGATTAATGAATGAATACAATTCAAACGCAAAATCAGATTAATTCATTCGATTCCTAGGAAATGGATGCGGAGTCGCACCTTTGGCAACAACGTGGAGA